GTTTACCTGACAGGTGGTGTTTTAAACGCAGTGAGTGTGGCAGTGGGCTCTGCCGTGAGTGTGAGCTCATTGCTGGACAGGTTCATGCTGACTGGGACAAACTGGACCGCGACCCCCACTCCTCCCCCTCAGGGCGTGGTGACGTGAACGCGCCTGACAGGAGGAGAAGATGAAGCAGGACGCGCGCTCCCGCTCCGCAGACTCACAGCAGGATCCAGCAGAGCTTCAGCGGACACACGCGGAGGAACCATGAGGGAGATCGTTCACATCCAAGCGGGACAGTGCGGGAACCAGATCGGGACCAAGGTAGGGACCGCGTCACGCGGCTCGGGTTCACAGCTTCCTGTCTGTCGGAGATTTTCAACAACGCGAAAGTTCATTTCAAACACCGAGAGTCCGCTTCACACCTGCGGGACGTCATCAACGAACGTGAACACACCAATCAGACACCGCGAGTGCTTCACGCACATTATCACTACCGTGGGGTTCGAGTTAGTGCGGGAACAGCAGAGGAGACTGAATCAGACCCGTTACTTTTTATTTAAGTAAAATATTTCAAACGTGGCAACGAGTGAGAACCCGCTGCAGTAGAGTACAGAGTAGAGTACAGAGTAGAGTACAGAGTAGAGAACAGAGGGAATAATAAAAGTTCATCTAGAGTACATGTGGTGAGGGAGAGAGAAGTGAACTCTGTGAGCCACCCAGAGACTATTCAAGGAATCCACACACACACACTCACTCACTCACTCACTCACTCACACACTCTTCTCTGGGCTGGAAGTCAGAGATGAACACACGCAGATCGTTTTTCTTTTCTGAGTTCATTAAACTGTGGAGGGTAAAGTTTTTGTGGTTCTTCCTGGTTGATTTTGTTCGTTTATTGCAACACGCTGGTGCCTCCTTCCTGTTAGCACAGACACTGGTGTGTAACAGGGTGGTGTTGGTGCAATAACGGAGCAAAGCCTCCACCTCTGTGTAAGCTTACTGACGAGGTGTCCAGGTTAGGTTGTAACTCAAAGAACGGCGGCTTCGACGCTACAACGTGTCTGACACTTTGGCCTCGAATGAACAAAATAAACTGTCCCAGTCGGATTCGTACCCGGTGGAGTAGAGCAGGGTTACACTCTGAACTAGTTTAAATGCAACGATGGCAGCTCTGACTGCAACCACAGAAAATATTTCAAAAAGAATCACTGAAAACAGATTAAACGCGTGAGCCTCTCACCTCAGTGCAGCCACTCAACTCTCTAAAATCTCCCAGTTTCCTTAGAATTTACTGGTTCTTTAATTTTCTCACACTTTCCTTCCCTGTTGCCATCCGAGCTTTTAGCCTCCATCAGAATCACCATCAGACCCACTGAGGGACTAACTCGTCCCTCAGATTGAGTTAGTGGGTTTTTTAGTGCATAGAAAGCAAACACTAATAAAACCTCCAGAGAACCTCAGACTGATTAAACAAAGCTCATTAGGTGAGAGGTATCAACACAGCCTGTGCTCATTTATAAGTAAAGATTTATTTTAATGTTATTTGTACTTTCAAGATTAGGCTTCAAACTTTCCTTTTTGCTAAAGCATATAGTTAGGGCTGGACCAGGTGACCCTGAATCCTCCCTTAGTTATGCTGCAATAGA